ACTAAATTCTGTAATTGAAATTTACTCAGTTTACTGAAAGTATTTTTCCAAAAAGATTAAGTTACCTGAGCAACAGTTAATTATCGTCAAGCATCTTATCAAATTGCTGATCTTTAATTTAAGTTTAACTTGTGAAAAGGAGGATCAGGATTATCAGGGGAATAGGAAAAGTTCAAATTATATATAACTTTCTGAGTGTGAACAAGAATTCAACTCAATCTTTGGTGGTTAATTAGTGAAATTCGGATTTTAAGTAAACAATGATGAGGACGAGAAGCTATTGGAATTGATTTATTACAAACTCGGAATTTATTACATGATAACTTTAAGGAGACTTATCCTGAAATACTTCATAGAAACTGTGATATTTGTAATTGTAATTGGGATAAATGAAACTCATATTGGTAACTGATGATTTTTATGAGTAAAAATTTTGCAATAAAATCAATATTTTAATGGTAATTCAGTTTCTCAATCTCTGAAGAGAAAATGAGTCTCAGATTTATCATTGAATTTTCTTATTGATGATATTGCCACACTTAAATCTAACCGATCAATCAATCAATTAATCATGAAGAAGTAGTTATAAAAGATCGGGTTGGGCCAAGCGTCCATACTGGACCAAACTTTCTGAACCAAATTTTGATATTTTTGACACGAAATTTGAAATGATTTAAACATACATTTAAGCAGAAATAAGCTAAATAGCTATATTTATTTGAAAATTAAAGCCCTCTGGCTCTTTTTGACGTCTCTTCTGATTCTTTCCGCTCATTTTCTTGTGTTTTAACTTCACACCACTTATTGTATCTTTCAGAAAAATCGTCTTTGGGAAGACCGGTGTATCTCTCAAGACGAATGAGTAGATACTCATTATATTTCTTATCTTCGATAATTTCGGTCTTCAAACTTCTATCATTTAATGAATTGATAGAATCTGTATAACCATCTATTATGTCGGCGGATTCCTCTAACTCTTCAGCCAGATCATCTATTTCCTTGGATAATCTTTCATTATTCTCTTTAAATGTCTGATTCCTTTTTCCAGTGGCTTCAAGTTGATCTCTCAATTCATCAGCCATTTCAATACGCTGTATAGCAGTGTTTATGGTTCTATTAATCCAATTCTGGAAGTGACGGGTACGAACATTTAAATACCTGCGAATATATCTCAGTATCATCTTCAATGGTCCAGATCTGAGATAAAAGAATGAACATTAATCAACCTTATCAAAATAGATGGAATAAAGAGGAGCTTACCTGTCATCAGCTGTCATGAGAAAATGATGATTCGTAAAATCATGTTATGTTTCATCGTATCCTCTTTTATACTGTTTTAAAAAATTTGAATTTTCCTCCAAAAAGTGGGTCGAGTATGTTGGTCCAGTATGGACGCTTGGCCCAGACCAGGTCTTTGCATAACTACTTGGAGATAATCTTTGTCTCTTAATTTTAGTTGTTCATTTCTGGTGATTTAGATTATTGTTTGAATGGGTTAAGGAAAATTTTGCCAACATTTATTTGCTTTCAATGATTTCATGTGTTCATCCGAGTTATTAAATATTCATCGTAAACATGAGTCTCATGATAAATTCATTGGATGAAGAGGAAGATAAAATATTACTTGAAGATAAAATTTCAAACCAATTGTTCAATTTTTTATCATTCTAGAGTTGAGTAACCATGTGAACATGAAGGTTCATTCAATACATTTGCTTGTATTTAATATTATGAATTTCATTTCCTGTGTTTAAAATGAATTTTGAGTAATTGATTTGAAATTGAAAATTTTTTATCCGAATCATTAATTTACAAGCAAATTATCATGATAATTGAAATAAATTTCAAGCAAATTTCATTACGAAAAAGTAAACCTACTTATAGCTGATTCTATGCCTGAACTTTTTCTGATCCTTATAATCATCATAATGATAATTTCCCCTGTTAATTACCTTCCCATAAGATGGTGAAATTGTTTATCATCTTTATCACGGTGATTACAAAATAATAATAAACAAAATGAGCTTTGAGGTTGGATGAAAAAAATATCTTCTTTTCTTATTTTCTCAATGAACTTTGCTTTTACTCTGAAGAAATTCTGAATCTACCCTGATGATGATAAGCATCATTTAATCTGATGCAATATTAATAGTAAACAAAGAAAAAGTTATCAAGATATGAACATTATGATGATGAAAAATCTTCAACATGATAACTCAGGGAGAACCTGAACAATTCAGTGAACATGAATACAGTTAGATAACCGAGTTTACATCTTAGAGGTTCATCAGTTTAAATAGTTAATCGTAGGTTTTGTTTTCAAGCAAAGTGAGAGATGAGGGATCAAGGATGCGGGTGGAAGAGCACTAGATGATGAGGATGGAGACAAATACGAGATATAATATTAGAAATGCATGGAAATAATGAAACACCATGTTGATCTTGAACAAACTGTTTCCATCTTTTGACTCATTCAGAAGCTACAAAATGATGATCACTTTATGCTACTGGAATTCCCCTACTTTCTCATACAATCAAGATTTATTCAGTTCCATCATCATGAGAATCTTCATAATATACAGAACTGTCACCTCTTCATTGCTTTCCAACTAATCTTACTGGTTAAATCTGTTTACATCAATCATTTAACCTGAAACCTAATCCATCAAAAGTTATTATCGTTTTTTTTTTGCTCTCAAACAATTTTCCTGAGCAATTCTTGTATATTCCAATCATGAAGATAATGTCAACTACCATAGAAACTGTTCTGACAGGCAATTTACCCTCAGGCGATTTTAAACCTCACTTACTTATCCTGAACAGCTCGATATCAATTAAGTTACATTAAAGTTTCTCAATTGTTCAAAAAAAAGAGAAAACTAAAACAAATGGTCAACAAAAACATTGACCAGTAGTAAGAAGTGAATGAAAAAACATGAAACCTTGAAATTAAAGCATCAGAATCAGGCTGAGATAAAATTTTGACATTGGAATCTGAATATTGAAAAGTATCCCAAGAGTTATAAGTGACAATTAATTTTACGTTGGACGAAAATAGGTCAAAGATTAGGTTGCGATTAACTTGATAAGTTTATCTATCAAACCATGATTAATACATGATGGAAACTCATCTTCAGATCAAAAGGATATTAAGATATTATAACAATATATTTGGACATGATGAACATTGAAAAGCCTTGAAATGAATATGACAATGGGCTTGGCGTATTTTTATCTGAACAAATTTGAATCATAATAGGTGGATGATGATAATATCTATTGATAATATCTCGGGATGAGATAAAGAATGAGAAGAAAAAATTCAGGAGATTCTCCTTGGCAACTATACATTTAACCTGGATTTTCAGTTGAGGAAGATGCATAATTCAGGGGAAAAGACTGAGAGAGACATGAAATTATGACGTCAATGCTCACACACAAATTCATACTTCAATACCTTTCCAGTTTATCCTATCAATTTATACTCCCTGGCTCCCACTCCATAGTCATCCAACTTCACCACTACTCTCCCAATCCTCACTCACAGGGAGTTAAAATTATTCTGTAGAAATTTTTCTTTTTTGATAAAGAAAATGTTAACATGATGAAATAAGAAGGAGAAAAAACCTTGCCCCAGTTTCATGTTCTGCTGGTGATAAACTGATAAAATCTTCAATTCTCACAGTTTCTTACCTCATTTTATTAACGCTAAAACCTTTTATTATCATTATCTTGTGATGATTATCATGAAAACCATGTTGATAATAACATTTGTACGTCAATAAGAAAATTAATTTCATTTTCCATTCTTCAGTAAAAAAGATTTAATATTAATCATATTATTAGAATCGACTCTTTATCTTAACATCTATTCATCGATTGATCAACATAACTTACTTATTGCTTCTGTTATTTGATCATCTTCATCTTCATCTCCATCACTTTGATCATATTTATGGAAATGTTAATTCCCTTTTTATATTATCATTCATGATAAATTATTCCCATAAACTTATTTACTTTGGAGTGAAAAAAAAGATAGATAATATTTTCTGGAGTTAATCAAACGTTCATGGTGACATCTACCATGAATCCTTGTAGACTCAGGCTGAAGATATACAAATAGCTTTAATCAGCTGTTTTCACCTTAATTGTGATAACCATGAATTAGGACTAAAGATCAATGGTCAGATTAACTTTGTAAGCACAATTTAATAACCTTCTAATTGTTGATCAATAAGTTGTGATAAAAGTTAATGATAAAGGTTAAAGTTTTCATTCTGATTCATTTAGTAACATGAAACTTGAATCGGTTCTTATTGATCATGAAGGATGAAGATGAAGATGAAGATAATACAGGTAAAAGGTGATGATGTAATTTCTTCAGTTAGAATCTTTTCATGTTATTTACTTTGCTACTGGACATTTGGAGAAATGAGAATAATAAAGAATGACCAGTTTTCTTTTATTCTTTTTTTCCCACTCTAATGATTATCGATTGATACTATCATCATCTTCCTTTTATCTTCTCTTTCTCTTCAGAGTTTTTCTCTTTTGTTTTCTTCCTCTTTCCATCACTTTTGTTGTCTTTCTTTTTTTTTATATCACAGTTGCAACGGTTTCGTATTTCGTAAACACAATATCGAAATTAAGAGAAACTGAGGTGACCATCGAATCCCAAAAGAAATATAAAGTTATATTCTTTATGTTTTTTGAATGAATGAACTTCTCATGAAAATTTCATTTGATTTCAAGACAAATTCAGTTTTTTTCCACCTCGGATACTACTAAATGATAACATTTGGAATCATATGAATATTGATTGTTTTTTTCGACATTAATTCTGAACTTTTCAGTTCGATTTGTTCTCATTTTAATATTTTTCCTTTTCTTGTGATTGGAGATTTGGAAATTCTGTCCTTGGGCAAAGTTAAAGGTCACCTAATGGTCAATATAATGACTACGTAAGAGTTGATGAACTTGAAGTGGCTTGAATTTGTTGACCTACTTTTTGAGTTTTTTTTTATTATTCTTTTTTCTCAATCAAAGGAAACATTTATTATCATCGGGAGCTGATGATCTTGATACTTGATGTTTGATTGTTTCTCCATTATCATGATCTTATCTTTCAATCTCATGGTAAATGTTACGAGCATTTATCGTGAGTTTATTTCTCAGTCTAAATAAAGTAATATCAGAATAACCATGATTTCAGTGAGTTAAGATTGAGATTGAAAACTAAAATAAACCCTCAAGGCCTAGAAAGTTTTGTACATTTAGAGTTGACTTGGGATGGATGAAGATGAAGCAAAGTAAATGAAAACCAATAAGAAGAGGATGAGAGATGAAATGAAAATGATTAGAAGGATAAGACGACAAAGAAAAAAGTAAAGAATAACTGTGAGAATAGATCATGGAATAGCCTGAAGAATTCATCCCATCTCTGAGCAGAATCCTGAATAAGAATTTTCTCTTTTATTTCTTCATCTTCAACAATTCTCATGTTCCCTTTTCCTGCCTCCTCTTCTTCAACCTCCATCATAATATTCATCCTTCTCTTCCACCTCTTCATCATCTTGGAACCATGAAAACGAAGAAAAAAGCTCAATTTTCATCATTTCTTTTTACGATACAACATAAACTTTTCGTTGGGAAGTAATTTTTTTCTAATTCCGTTTACCTGTGATTTGTTTCATTAGCTAATTTCAACTTCGATTACCAGCTAATTAACACCATCAATAGGACAATCCTATTAACCCGTTAATCTTGTTATCGTTTCAATACTTTGTCGTTATCATTTCGAAACCAAAATCATAAACAACAATTAACTTTCAATTTGTTTTTGAAATTTCTGTTCAAATTCAGTATTCGGTGATAAATCAACAGCAAATGGTCAGAACTGTTTAAACTTGAGTTCTCTGCCTGTGATTAATTGAAATTAAATGGAATCAAACTAATTGTCAATTGTTAATACTTGTTAATAATCATCATTATTAATTTTTTCTCTGCTAATTTAATGATTATATTTACAAATTTACAACCAATTATTTTTCATGCTCATTCATCAAGATTTAATTTGCTCACTAATTAACAACATGATTGGTATTTAAAGATTTAATCAACTCAATAAACCTTATTAACAATTTGTCCTCAATCTTTTAACAACAATTAAACCAATAGTTTATTAGACTTGAATAATTATTTTAATTTAAACTCTTTCAATGAACAATGAACCAGAATTTACCTGATGAGTTCCAATTCCGATTCCATACTTACCTTTTCCTTAACCCTATTCTAATCACAACCAAGAGAACTAAATTAAATTACTAATTAACTGTTTCTTACTCATTCTCATCAACAGAACCACCCACAAAGTTATCTTTTAATCGCAGAAAATCAGGTAAGTAACTCAGGGAGATTCATGATAGCATTCATGATGGAAACACCAAGAAACTCAATGCAAACCCAATTTACTTTTTTTTCATGATCTTTGAACAGTTTTTGCTGAACATTATGATCCAGCTGAAGAGGATGATGAAGAAGGTGAAAAGGTAAGATTAACAATTTTTTATCCATTTAACTGACCATCAAGATGACCCATTGGTTTATATAAACGATAGATTCATGGCCATGAAAATGTAGATTATAATAAGAATCAGAAGAAGAAGGAAAAAGAAAACGAAAATGATAATAAAAAAAAGACTCAGAATAAGAAGACAGATGATAAATGGATTCACCATGAAATAAAAGTCTATTTTCACCATGATGATGAAGAGCATGATCAGTGGAACCAGAACTTTTCCCTCGATATGAATACACTCGTCAAGCATTTCCTTTTATCATATTTATCAACAAAATGCATCATAATCATTCCTGAAAATATATCATCATGATACACTGAGGATACATTGTGAATATAATATGATAATAATGTTAATGATAATAGTGTGAGTGAGTGAGCAAGGGAGGCAGAGGATAAATAATGATATGGTAATGATAATAACATGTTTCTAATTAGGACAAAAACCAGAACCAACCTGATTATCATCATAATTCAGCTATGCCTCATGAAATAGAATCAGCTTACCCATGATATATTTATTACTAGATAACAGATACAAAGAAAAGGTCAGAATTCATCAGATATCAATCAGATCACCATGTTTATTGTCATCATTATCATAAAAAGGAGTGGGAAATTGTTTTATCAAATTCTTGTAAGATCGAGTTGAAGTTATTAGAATCTCTGAAAATCTCAACTCATTCATATCAGTTGAGTTCAAGTTAATTAATTTCAAGATTGATAATTAGATTAACTCTTTCAGATCAATTCTCAAGTGAATTTTTTTAACTGTGATTATCTAATAGTGAAAGTACAATAAGATAATAAAACTATTTACATGGTAATTTTTCGTGATGCAACTTTGCTCTGAGTTTCATTTTTATTTTTACCATGAACAGTCAATTCTGGTTCAATCAGGTATTGATGAAGAAACTCAAGTTTTCTTGTTGTTATTATTATCATGTTAACATGATAGTTTAACGTAATCAAGATAAAAACTGTTTCAGTTGAATGAATTTCAGATGAAAATCATGATAATACTATCGTATTGATTTATTAGTAAGTGAATCAATAAATTGTTTGATTCAAAAGTTATTAAAAAATGTACTATTGTTATAATATAACATTTCAATTATCATGCAATCGATTATTGGATTCAGAGTTTCACAATATTCTTGGAAACTCATCTGAAAATATCAATTTCTCAATAAGAAACTGCAACTTTCAGACTGAATTAAGGTTATAATTTGCTTTATAAGATTCATGGTTGATCATTCAGTTATTTATCTGAATAAATCAATTCTGAATCAACAGAGAAATACAATGAGATATTAAATACGAAATTTGATCACAATTAACTTTTTCAATGAAGTAAACCAAAGGTTAGATTCAATTGTGACAATCATTATCCAAATGGGGATTCATCATAATCATTGTGATTAAATTTAATCATTGAATTATCTTATGTTTAATTAACAGGTAGTTCACCCTAAAAGTGATGAGCAAAGGAAACGTCTTGGTGAGGCTGTCAAAGGTATATTATTATTCAGATCATTGGATCAGGTAAGTTTCGATCACAATCAAATTAAAGTGTTAATCAGTAAATCACATCCCCCGAGTAGATTTTAAAGTTACCTTTCTGTTTACCTTTATAAATTAAACTGAATTATTCACTTTTCAACTGAGAAAATGTAAATTTAACTACTGGTCAGTAGATTAATTTCACTTATTGTCTTAGTCCTTAGTGAATAAATTGTTTTGATGGACCTAAAGAGTTGAAGCCATTTAATCATGACAAAAGACATTGGTTGTTAACAGATAATATGATGGAATCAATTGTTAGCTTAGTGAAAATTGATCTCACACAAATCAATCAATTGTGATTAATTTTGGGATAACAATCAGTATAATTTTGATATTGACTTTCATACCTTTGTTTACCATTCATGATATTGATATATTATTATTACTCTGGTGGATTATTTAATGATTCAGATCACGAATTGAGATGAACAAAAAAATATCAGTACAAATAAAAAAAAAAGGACCAAGGGGAAAAATCAACACTAATAAAAGTTAAATAACAATCCCAATTGTGAGATAATCATCATGAATGTGTCTCTGAATTCAGATGGTTCATGGTGATAATGATAACCTCAATTCAGTTATTAAGAGTTATGAACTTATATCATAAAATGTCAATGTAATCAAACATATTGACCAGTTAAGCTGGTCACTTTCAGAATGAATGAGTGACTGAGATAAGTCAATGAATTACCAAAGATGAACAAAGTTACACTTTTTTCCTCAATAAAATATAAAGTGAATACTTTTTACTCGTTAGATTATTTCGTCCTCTTTTGTAATATGTCCACTTTTCAGTAACTTGCCCATAAAACTGGACATAAACATTTAGCTTCAAAGATTTTGGTTCCATCCTAATACTTGACCATTTCTTTTTTATCTCTTTCCATTCTTTAAAACTACAGGTAGACATGTCAGAAGTTCTGGACGCCATGTTTGAAAGGAAGGTGCATCCTGGTGAATTAGTTATAAGGCAAGGAGATGATGGTGACTATTTTTACGTAATAGAAAGGTGAGTTTCCATTTCCTTTTCCGTTCAGAGTTTTATCTCTCTTTCCAATGTTCTGTTTATATTGACCGAAATTTTTACCAATATTGAACCTAAAGGTTAACCTTGATTCAATAGCTCATGTTGAGTAACTTATATAAATTAACTAATCAAACAATCATCCATAGTAATTTATAATCGTAATCATCAGTTAATTAAAAGTTTTGTTAGTGATAATCAGTTAATCATTATATTAGATAGTAACTTGATTTGATGAATAGTAAGAAAAAATTTGATTAATGATAGAATCACTTTCTCAAATTAGATTATATTACCAACGATATTAATCTCAGTCGCATGAATTTGAAATTGAATACATTGTATCAATAATCAAGTTAATTGTCCCAATTAACTTATTTGAGAGTAACTAGAAAATGATAAAATGTTTCAATTTAAACTGGTCAGTGTAACAATTTAAGGTTAGTTTTCAAGTGGTCATCTAATTTAATTTCATTTCTGATACTTGATTATCCAAGCGAAATGTTTATATTGAAACAGGTCAACCATTAGGAATGATAATCAGAATCAATTAAATTGTGTCAAGGGAATCATTAAGTTCAAACCTTGATTAGCAACTGATTAGCAAAACTGATTAACAATCAAATCAATTTGATAATAAACTAAAAATCAATGATAATCATTATGAAAATGATCAAAATTACGTATAATTAGTGACCAATGATAAAACAACGATATTAATCAAAATTGATTGTTGTAATCTGATTAGTATAAAAGGAGATTTAATAATTAATATGAATATAAATTATTCCAGCAATTGAGATTATCAGTTTTGTATAAAGATGATTAAAGATACCAAATTAATAATCGTCATGGTTACATGATTTACTAATCAATCGTTGATTAATATCGATAATCTTATAGTAATCAGCTTGATTGTAGTTCATTTTAGTTTCACAATCAGTGTGAGTATTCATGATTAAACAGAGAGATGAAAACATGACTATTTCTCATCACCATGAAAGACTCATTAAATTCTGGGTGAAAATCAAGTTTGTAAACTTGTTAATTGCCTGTAGAACTTTTTTCACACTTATTTCACTAATTGACATGAACAATAAAAAAAAACTAGAAAAAGATTCAGATCAATTTATGAGAGAAAACAATGAATTCAAAATGTTGACAAATCAGATGATAAAGTGAATGCTAATCATGGTGAGAATCAGAACTTTTTCCCCTTAAATATAACTACAAAAGCCTCCAAGACAAAATTGTCAGGGTAATTGGGACACATACTGAAAGAAATCATGATACTAATATGAATAGATGGGTGGGAGAGGTATGGAAAGAGTGAAAAGTTCATTGGGTGGAAAAGACTATTTTGTTTTCCTATTAAAATTCATCATGATAAATTCAAAGGGATAAATCGGATATTTGAAATATGTAACTATTAACATCATAAATACAGCATGATTATTCACAAAGGATTTGGGTTAAAACCCTTAAGGCAATATAATCAAGGTAACATAGTTTTCACTATCAAAATGTATAATCTGGTGATGGTGGTGTTATTCATGGTGTACTCGTAATACACCAAAGGTATAAAAGTTCAAGTCACCAATGAATTTGAAACAAGCTCAAAGCAACATGCAACCATTTTTGTAATATAATTAATTGAAATATATCATTAATCTGGTTGATAAGATGAACCAATTCAACAAATCAGTTACTATTCAAATGAAATTCATATTTTCACCATGGATTCAAATTTCAATTCTCAAATAATATAAATCATTCTGATTAATGTTAATATGAATTTATCATGAGATTATCTTTTTGGGTCTTTCATGAAAAACTCCCCGGTGGGGTTTTCATAAATCATCAGATGAAATAAATTGTTGGTTAATTTTGTGATTACAAACTAGATAAACATTGTAATCTATAAGTAAGAAGGTAAAAATAAGTAGATGTTAATTAGATTGATTAACAATTAATTAGTCATGAAATTTAGTTCATTTATTTTTTTCTAATAAATCAATTAGTTGATGAAACATGTTAATTGTTAATACTGATTATTGATTAGTTTTTTCCTCTCTTTTTCGTTAATCAAGTTTTATCTATGATTTTCTAGAGTTTTTCAGCTAATCATTAATATGATAACAACTAATTGAATTTGAACGCTCATTTAATTGTTATTATTAATTATAGCTTAACATTGATGCGAGGTAAATATTTGGTTAGTCTTGTGAGAGTGATAAATGTTAAGGTGACAGTTAATTAGATGAAGAAAGTTTCTGATTAAGGTAACATTTCATGGATTAGAATTGATTCATTATCTTCATCATCTCATCTAAAAAGAAACTTCTGAGAAGATAAATTGTAAACTCATCTTGTTATCAAATTAGGTGAACTTTTCTGGTGATTATCGACTGATGTGGTTTTCCTTTTTATCTCCAATAACATTCTCACTCTAGATACATGTAATATCAATCGAATCCCATGTAAATCGAGATATTGTCAATTTCCAATGATAATAAAACTCAGAGAGAAAGGGAACAAAATCTGGTAAAAGAAAGAAAAAAAAAGAAAGATAATCAATGAGATTTATGAGAACACTGAGAATATCCTGGTAATTCTGGTATCATAATTGATGGTTCCATGGAAGAGAAAGAAAGAAAGAGAAAGATAGAGAAGATAAATGTTCATCAGATTGTTATTCATACAGAATTTCATTTTCTTCCCACTTTTAGTTAATCTTCACCCTGAAATTTGTGATAAAACTATTACAATGATATCATTTGGATTTGTATTAGTTTGTTAAATATACGATAGTGTCAACTGATTAACGATTTGAAAAATGATTATGGTTCATGGTTTTTGCCGATGATTCAGTAATAACATGATTCTGTGTCATTAATTGTAATTCAACCTGAAGAAGATGAAAAGAATTGATATTTAATAATAATGATAACCATCTCAAAGTAAAATTCAATTAAAATTATAGCTCTTACCTTTAATGAATATGTCAACAACAACAACAATTAAACAACAATTGTCTAGAATAACAATGAGACATTGTTAATGATAAGTAAATTAAATTATCACTTGAAATCTATTGGATCTATTTTTTTTTGTGACTAATTGAATCGGTTAAATTATCACACAATAGTAATAATAATCTAAAGTGATCTGAATAACAATTAAATTTAATTGTCAGAAAATCTTCCAGCCATAATGAGTTTTTAGAAATTAATTGTTACTCTTTTAACTGAATATCATTAGTATCCCAAATAAACTTGGTAACAAATAAAAGTTTCATAATCTCTTACCTTTTTAACCTCACATCTAAATTAAAGGTCAAACTCATAAGTTCTCGTTTGTCCAGCTAATGAAAGTCAAATCTTGACCACTACTTAGTATCATTAGGAGTACAAGTCTGACCAAAGCTGTGATGGTAATGACCATTGTCCTCTTTTCTTAGGGTCGAAAATAAAAAGATTCTCTTAAGTGAAACCAGAATAATTTTCCATGATGAAAGAGAAACCAAGGATAACTCCCTGAGCAATTTTTCCTTTTCCTTTTACTTTGATAAGCTTTTATCTTTTATCTTTTGTCTCCATCATCTCGATTACTGGTCATCGGATTAACCATTGATAAAAGACCATCAGATTAACGATACAATTAAGGAATCAATTCTTGATAAGAGGAGAAGAAAAAACAATTTAAAAGAAAATAACGAAAAGATTAGAAATGAATTATGAAACTTAAATCAAGGATATAAATGAAAATCTAATCTCAAACAATTAACATCAATTACATGAGATTGAAATGATGATTTTCAATCAAATGATTCAATAGAAAGTCAATTGAATCAATCAAGTAGAAAAAAAATATGAACCAATAAATTTAGCGATGAATTAATTGTTGTCGTTAGTTTAAATCAAACAGCTCGTTGATCCAATATAATACCTATTATTATCCATGAGAATGATTCTGTAAAAAAAAAGTTCAACATGATTAAATCCATGAATTTATCTGGAACCATGAAACATGATGAAATCAAAATTGAAGTAATCATAATAACAATAGCAGTTCACAATTCGTATGGAAATAAACAAACATCACAAGAGTAACAATCTAACCAAGAGTATGTACTTGAAAAATCAATAACAACAATCAACATGATTGTTGATAATCAAGATATTAATACGAAATAAGTTTTAGCATTGATTCGCGTCCTTTTGAAAAAAAAGTTCACATCAAGAAATCTGAATAAAAATCGTGACAAGCCTAAGAAAAACTGACCAGGCTCAGTGTCCAGAGAAAAAGTTTCATGATTTCAATGAAAACGATAGTTGGTGATTAGGATGAAATTTCAAATTGTTTCACAATAACAGTTGATGGTTTGGTGACAATTTGTCAGCAACTAATCATCTTATTACATCATTTTAATAATATTCAAGCTTTATCACTGAGTATTTAGATTAGGATTCATGTTAATCGTCAATACTCAGAGTAACTAGGATCTTATTTTATTTCACAATTTTAACCTTCAACGAAATAAACTTACATAAGCGGATTAGTGAGTAGTCTTGTTTTACATCTTCTTTATCATCTTCATCTTCATCATCATCATCATCTTATCTTCAATGAATATTCATTCTTTTTTCTCTGTTAATTCTATTCAAATTTCCTCTTGACATTATCTTGGCATCTCTTTTTTTTCATATCAAACTTTTATCTTCTTTCATGCAAATATTTACAACATCCCATTCAGTATTTCTTTTAGATCTGATGTATGATGAAGATGAAGATGATGCAAAGGTATTCACAGGTAACTAAGGGAGAAGAATTTAATTTAATGATACAAGAAACTTTCTGCTTTTTGTATCACTTAATTTTAAGATGAAAGACACAAACCTACGCATTTAAATCTAAATACATTCTAAATATTATATATTCATTATTACGATTGTTGATAAACAATTGAAGAAAACAAGTTTCTGTTGATGTTGTTTTTTTTCTATTAATACTAATAGATTGTTGATGTTTCGTTGCTACAATTTTAAACTTGATTAATTTAACTCCTATGGGAAGATTGGAAAAGACAAAAATAAGATTAAGGTTGAGTGGAGTAAAAGTCAAGGTAAAACATTAGATGAGAAAAAAAAAGGTTAATGGTTGATGAGAATTCAGAAACTCATTAAAATTAAAGCTAAATCAACTTTGTAATCAAACAGAATCAATTGGTAACAAATGATAAATACATGCTTTTAGTATTATATCAACAAAATAGGTCAAAGTATGAATAAGGCTACAATTAACATTGATAATCAACTCATTAACAATTCACTTCTATTATTTAGATAAAGTTAATCGTAATGAATAAGGAAGAAAAATTCATTCTAATCAGATTAATGTAGAGCACTATCATAGAGTTTTCTTTGAGATGAAATTTCATTTCATCACAACTCTTTGAATTCCCTGGTCTTGTCAGATAACTTTGATTCCTCTTCAGTTATCTTTTTTTTTGGATGAATGTTGATTCAATCAATGTAAACCAACTTATGTATATTATAAGAGATGATATAAGATGATGGTAACGACGAACAGGGTAAAATGGATTCCTATTGAATTGATGTTGGTAGAAAAAAACTATCATACAAAATATGCATAAAAAAGATAGACAATAAAAAAGTCTTAGTGAGACTGATGATTATGTTACAGAGGTGGGAAAAAAAGATGAGAGATTGAAACTCACCTTAAATAAACCATTGCACATAAAATGAACAGTTATATTATTCCCAATGAGTGGTTCATCATTCCCAGAACTATTTCCAATACAACAAGAATCATCTTAACTTGAAACCTTTTTTTTTCTTGATAGTTTTTTTTCCTACTCCGCCTTCTTATCCTTATCCTCTTGCTTTTATTACACTTATCTGCTCCTAAACATAAGGTAAAAAAAAGTACAGGTAAAAAGAGTAAGTGAAATGGTAATAGTAAGATTGAAAATGCAAAATGTAAGAGGAAAATCTAATAGTAAATACAGTTAACTTACATTGAGAATCAATGTAATCAGCTTACCAGTCAAACTTTGACAGGTGATATTAGTTGTTGCCATTTTGATTTATTGCAATGTAAACACAATGATAATCATTGTAACTGTTTTTGCATGAATCAGGAAGAGGAAAAGGAGGAGAGAGAAAGAGAGAGAAAGTGATTCCATGATAATCAAACAGCATTTACCTTGGAGAAAAGCAAATTCACTCCCTATTATCATTCATTTTTTCCATCATCTTCATCCTTCTTCCTCTTTTCTTCTTAGCTTTTTCCTTTTTTTTTTTGATTTAATCATTGTTGTGACTCCATCCATTGGTTCAATATGCTCTCTGTTTTCATCATGAATTATCATCACTACCATCATCACATAACGTGAAAGTTAATATGTTGTCTTGCATCATACATGTATTTGATTCCTTTAATGGTATTTTCTTTGAGAAATTCTGAAAGGTAAAAAAAGGAGAATTGAGAAAAAAATTTTCCATTTAGTTCACTGTTTATAATCCATTTAATATGATGTTATGATAATAAACAGAGGTTGTTGTAAATTTTTTAGTTACCCATTATCACGCAAATCTGTTTAATATGCTAGAGATGATGAGTGGGAGAAGTGATTCAATTCTGTTGCTCCTTTCATGGTGTTGTATTAACCCATGAAATTTTTTACCAATTTACTAAGGAAAGAAAAATTTAGGTTTCAAATTATAAGATGATGATGTTTTTTTGTGCACTTGCTTCCTCCATGATGTTAATAATTCACTTGGATGTCAAATTATGAATTTTCCTCTGCTCTTCACCCTCTGTCTTTGTCTTTTTTCTCGAACTAAAACAAAATTTTTCTTCCATTTCTATAACAGGGGAACTTTCAGATTCTACTGTACAAATGACGGTAAACATATTGAACTTGGAGAGTACACTGATTCCGGAAGCTTTGGTGAACTTGCTCTTATGTATAACATGCCAAGATCAGCATCAGTTGAAGCCAAATCTGAAGGATCCCTTTGGGCGATGGTCAGTTAATTATCCAATCAAATCAAATATAAATAAGTTTCATCTTAATTTAAGCTTATTTGATCACCGTGTATATCTTATTGTATGAGTATGAGAATAAGACATAAGTTCAATTGGACAAGTAAAGTTCAGTCAATGGATCGATGAAACCAGAATCATTCCTAATGGTGGGATAGGCAAAAAAAAGAAAAATACAGACAGAACAATCTAATGAAAAAAAGAGAATAAATTAAATTGTCAATAGAATGATAATTTTACCATGAAGAAGAGTAATTCTAAATCTTTATCTTTGACTTTTTCTTTCCTCTATTTTCTCCAGAGTCGTCAAACATTTCGAAAGATAGTTTTATCAAGAGCTTTCAAGAAAAGGAAAACATATGAAGCTCTGTTGGAAAGAGTTGAAATGTTGAAGTCTCTTGAGGTGAGTGAACAATTTATGTTACCAATTTATAAACAATACGAAACACGACAATTTATGGTAAAATAAATTGTCAATCTTTCTTGTTATTTTGTAACTTTTTTTCTTCCCTCTCTCTCTCTCTTGGCAATCTTCCTCCACTTTTAGAATTTAGTTTGTAACAATATTTGTCTTTTTCTACCTATTTCATAGGCATACGAAAGGATGAATCTTTGTGATGCTTTGACACCAAAATCATTTCGAAGTGGAGAAGTCATCATTAAAGAGGTAAATCTAAAGTAAACTCCAATCATCATAATCAAATAACCAATTGAACCATTGAATTAATTCCTTTGAATTTGATTTTTTGCTGTTACATTTTTCTCCATGCACAGGGTGATCAGGCTGATGGAATGTATTTTGTTGAAGAGGGAACTGTGGTAATCACAAAAATTGATGAGGTAATTATTGGAAATAAGCTATTCATCCAACCATCTCAATGGACTTTGTCAGGCTTATTAACTCGTTGTCAATCCTATTAACGGTTCTCTTTGCTTTTGTTTTTTCCTTCTTTTCAATTTTGGTTACCTGTGTAATTACAGAGAGGACAAGAGAAAGAGTTATCAAGATTAACTAATGGAGGATATTTTGGTGAATTAGCACTTATAACACACAAACCTCGAGCAGCGTCAGTTAAAGCTGTTGATGGTGTCAAGACTGCATGTAAGTATCTTATAACCAATCAATCACCACCACCAAAAGGCAAAATCAATTGATTGTCATAATTAGAAATAAAAACTCCATAATTCAACTGGTTACGATAATCATTTGACTATAAGAAAAACCATTACATTTGATTTCTCTTGTCAATTAATGAGTTTCTAGAATTTCCTTCATCTTGTGTAATTAGATTCAGGTGAGGTGAATATGATCAGGATCGTAGATGTATACAAATCAAAGACGAGATAAACAGCTAGTCCGGAGAAAACCTATTGTTAAATTGATTCTTTGTTGAATCATTCGAATATAATCCAAAAGTTGAGATAAATATAAGTTAATCCATAAGAATGAAAATTGAACATATGGCTTTGATTTGTTAGATTTAGAAGAGTAAATAAGATTGAATATCCATTAAAGATTTAATCGTGATCCAGGTTTGACTTTTTTTCTTCCTTTTTCCACAACATGATTGACGAAAACACGTAATAGAACTTGATAATCTTGAATCTCTCTTTCATTAATTCATTTATAAATATCATTCTGATTTCTAATTAGAAATAGAATTAAGAGAGTCAAAAAATGATTTAATTCTCTCGTGGGCGAGCTTCAGGTTTGCCTTAATTCGCTGTTGTTGGTAATAAACTAATTCTTGATTTTATTTTGTTCCATCCACACTCAATAACCATTTCCTTTGATACAATTATCATCACCACCATGTAACACGATCCATCTTCCTCCGCCTTCCGTTGGAATCATTAACAAAAATATCACAAACAAGTTCTTGATGTTGGAGCTTTTGAACGACTTTTGGGACCCTGTATGGATATAATGAAGAGAAATTTCAACGATTATGAATCACAATTAGAGAAAATTTTTGGCAGTAAAGCAAACATATCAGACCTACGATGACCCAATCAACATCATTAACCACCGAAATCATATGAAAAAAAAACACACACACACACAACACAAATACAAATATATACAATTAAAGAAGAGGCAAAGAAAAACACTAAAACAAGGAGACATCATTATCATCGTCGTCGTCATTTCTTATCATCGTCATCGTCATCATCATGGAATCTTTTTTTTCTGATCAGGCCTTTATCGTGTGAGGATGAAAATCAAAGCCTATTAAAGTCAAACTGTCAACATCACACAAACAATATAAATATTATACATACATCTAAATGTAATAACGAAAAACAAGAAAACTCTTTTTTTTGTGTCATCTTCCCTCTATAATCATCATCATCATCAAGAGAAAAACAAACATCAATATATACACATAAATCTACTAAATATACAACAAGAATACACAGCCAACCATAATTTATAACAGAATGGAAAAAAAACAAAAGGAATCATCTAAATCATCAAAATGTTCATCGAGACTTAATTACTAACCAAATTAAACATAAACCATTAAATGTTATCGTAAAGGAAAAGGAAGAGAGGAAATCTAATCATAATGAAACAATTAAACCAAAAAAATGACAAAAATAAGAAATTAACTTACCTTGGAAAACAGAAAAAAATCCAAACCCTTTGGTGTCTCTTTTTTGTTTATAGAAATTTCCAGAAATCCAAGATGGACGCACAAAGAGAATAGAAGAGAATTAAATTTCCAATTGAAGAAAATGGCAACAAACGGATTACTAATTGAAAGATTATTGAGAGAGAGTGAAAAGAAGACAACGTTAATTGTTAGTTATTAATTATTCACCCACACACAGAGAAATTACAGTCACAATTAATAAATTATGTTCCAATTATTATGTAAAAATGACCAACACCTTTGGACAAACGATCAAAGATACTAAAGAGAGAAGTAAAAAAAAATTATTACAAAAAATTAAAACAAATTGTCAGTTACCTTTTTTTTGGCTTATTAAACCAATGATTAAAAGGGTTGATTAACGTGATGATTTACCCTGGGGGTGACTAATTGTTAGGACAATTAAAAATAAATAAACTGGTAATCTAATAAGAGGTTATGTTAACAAAGGTGATTAGCTTAATATGGATTAAGTAATAAGGTGAACAAAAAAAGTCAACTGACTATTCAAATTAAACGTTGTTTATATTTAAACATTGAGACTTTAATTGTTCACCCAATCAATTTAGCAACACTTAAACAATTAGTCAGGAAACGTTATGGTCATTAATTGATGGTCCAGTTAATTGTTTGACTTTTTTTTGCCTTCAATTTTTCAATTAGATATTTTTATCTACTATCGGGACTCATTTTAACGGTTTATTAACGTTAAACTTGATCCCGATATTAGATATTTAGTATCTTCTTGGATTCGAAAGAAAATTTTCTTCTATCAATCTCAACCAAATCAAAAAGAACAATTGAAAAAACAAAAAACTCACCATAGTAATCAGGCAAGTCTCTCAATTCAGTTCAATTTAAAAACATGATTAACATTAACTAGAAACAATTTGATTATAAAGTAAATGGTTAACACAAATGAACGAGAAAAAAAAACAACAACAAAAACTAAAAAAAAACTTACCAACGAACCAAAAGGAAAACAAAAAGAAACAAAATGCAAATCAAAGTCAACAAGAAGACACAACAAAAATTAACAACAAAATTAATTCTAATCAACAAAAACGAATCTTCAATCATCAGAAATTAAATCAGAAACGATTAATAGAAATACAAACGAAAATTAATTTTGGAAAAAATTGTGAGAAAAAAAATTCCACAAAATTAGTAAACTTTACGAACGTTAGATGGCAGCAGGTAATCGAAAATTCTATTTACTGATTGAAAGAAAAAAAGAAAGCAAATGTTAAAGAAAATAAAAGAGATTCTCTTTCATCAGTTTCAATGGTGATTGGAAGTTGTTGGTTTTAATCATCTTTAATTGTATTTTTTTTTCTTTCTCTCGTTAAATCAAATTATATCACCAACAACATCATGATCAATGCAAGTTTAACCAGTGTTAACAATAATTTAAATAACGTTAATAATAATAATAATCTAGACAACGTTAATAATATCAATTCGGTGAATATTGTTAACAATAATAATAACAACATCTCCTCTCCTACAAACACCAATCTAAATACTTCTGTTTGTAGTATTGGATCGCCAACAAGTCCATCTTCAACCAACAGCTCATGTTCACCTAATAGTAACAATAATGTGTTAATTATCAATGGATCTAATTCAGCTGATTATCTGGCACAATTACTTAAGGACAGGATCCGTTTACAAGCATTTCCAAATGTATTTGTTCACATTCAAAGGCTGGTTGACAATGGTTTGTATTATACTCTTTTTTTAGAATTTCTTGTTTTTTTCTCTCCAACTTGTTGACTATCTTGTGTTTTTTTCTTATTCTTTATTTTATAAGAATATAAAACAAAACAAATCTCTTGAAAATTTCTCTTTTCTATATCTCCTTTTTGTTGGTGCAAAATAAAAGGCAAAAGATTCTCAATGATAAATATTAGTGATTCAATATCTTTGAAATTCACCATCTTCATGAAACACTAACCACTTTTAACCCTCACCACTGTTACCACAACAATTTTTTTCTCTTCTCTTTTTTTTTTGCTTTTTTTCTCTTCTATTCTATTCTATACATATATATATTCTCTTCATTTTCACCTTCATTTTTATGTATTGATGTTTACTAAAAAAAATTCTCTTTCTATTTCTCTTTGATCATCTCACAACAACCTAGAAATAAAAAGGGTCCGAGATTCACTTTTTCACATGGAAGGTGAAGAAAAGAAGCCTTTATTATTGCCAGATCCTGAAGGTCAAATTGTACAGCAACAAGAGAAAGTTTATGTACCTGCTAAAGAATATCCTGAAGTAAGTTGCACAATGAGATTTCCATTACAAGCTAACTTCATATGTCATGAAAACTCATGTTTCATCTTATGGATTGTGTGTGTTATATACAATGGATTGTAATTTGTTTCTTTCTCGTTTCTATTTCTCTTTCTTCATCCATCCACTTGCTCTTTCTCTGGCTCTCTGGATATACCAAATTATCATAATCAACAAAAACCGAAAAAACCTGTAAACACCAGTATAACTTTGTTGGGAGAATCCTTGGGCCTCGTGGTATGACAGCTAAACAACTCGAACAAGAAACCGGTTGTAAAGTAATGGTTCGCGGTCGTGGATCTATGAGGGACAAGAAAAAGGTATCTCATTGTTTTTCTCTACCATTCGTCTTCTCTCTCTACATACACAATGGTTAATTTACATCACTCTTTTTACTCTTTTTCTCCATCGTTTTGTTTCTCTTCTTCTCTTCTCCCTCTTAACTTCATTGTGTTATTATTATTTTAATTCTAAATTGTATTAGGGAAATCTGCAAATTTCTCTCTTTTTCTATCGTTACTTCATCTTTCATTCTGATTCATCTATCTTTCCATCATCAGAACAGGTAGGCACTGATAGAGAGTAGGATGAGCGTAGGAAGTTTTCAGCCTAAAATTTACCTCTCTCTCTCTCTCTTCACTATCCCTCTCTATCATTTTTTCTCTCTTTTTTTATCCTTCTCTCGCTTCCTAATTGATGTTGACGTTGATGATACTCTCTTTCTTCGTCTTCTATCTCTTACCAAAGATGAAAGAATAATCCAAAAGAGAGAGAGAGAGGTTATTTTTGAGTGCAACGTAAAGTCACTTATGCATCTTGCCAACTTACATCCTTCTCATTCGTTCTTGTTTTACTTTTTCCTTCATCTTCTCTCTCTCTTTTTTTCTCTCTCTCTTTCGCTCTCTTACTCCCCTTTTTTCTTGTTTTCTTCTCTTTTTAACCCAAACCCATCTTATCTTTCTTGATATTTTGTAAGAGAGCAAAAAGGAAAGGCGAAGAAAAAAAAATTCGGAGAAAGAATAGAGACAAATAGCAAATAAGATGTGAAGATGAGGATGATGATGAAGCCCTGGTGTGCTCTTTTTTGCTTTAGTAGTGACTCCTCCTTATAAGGTATCCAATGAGTGGGCGTAATCAAGGTAACACCCAAATAAGGTCCTTCTTGTCCCCCTCACTTTCTCTCCCACACTAATCTATCACTACTTTTTACTCTTGCCATAATCATCATCACAATCATCTTCCTTAAATCTCTCTCTCCCTTTATGTTGTAATTTGAAATCATTTTACACTCATTGGTTAATCATAACGTAATTTTTATCCTCATCATATATATTTCCTAATCTCTCTCTCTCTCTCTCTCTCTCTCTTACTCACTCTATCTGAGAAAAATTCCATCAAAAATTGGACCAAATTGACTTAAAAACTATTAGCAGAATTTGTGTGTATGTAATGATAATCTTTTCAGCTTAAGGTTAAAGATATTTGATGACAATCTCAGCTATCAGAATCTTCATCACTTAACAACATGTTACTCAATTGAATCTATTCTGTTTCTATAAATACAATATTCGATTTATAGATTTATTAATTATCTATGTTACTCTATCACTCTCTCAAGTGTGTGTTAATTGATTTTGAAGAGCGATATCGACAATTTATTGAATGAACATTTATTAATCTAAAAATACTACATGAAAGGTGGTAATGATTATGATGACAGGTGATAGAGGAATTACCTATTGTTTTTATTTCTTCTCTATCATCATTTCTATTGTTATCATTAATATTTACTCACTCATACTCTGTGTATAAACATAGTGTGAAAACGAGAGGGAGAGAAGTGCAGGTATAAACACTTAAGTTACTTGTTGTTTATAAGAGAAAATATTATTAGATTAATTGATTAATTCATCCTCTTGATTAATCTCAATTTGATACGTACTTCTGATTAATTACAATTGTATAATCCACTTTTATAATATAATATTTATAATCTAATCACTCATCTCAACACGTTTTTAATTGTGTTTACAAATGCTACTTTTAATTGTAACTGTTAACTACTACAGTTATACAATTGTAAATAACTGTAATAGTAATTAACTAGTAATGATGATTATCATTACAATTGATTATTATGATTTGTTTATTTACCTGAAGAAAATTTAAGATACTAGGTGAATCTGTTCACCTGTGAACCGTTGATTTCAATTACCTATTTCTTTTACTCTAAATTACTTTTTACTCAATGAGGTTACCCTGTCAATCTCATGGTTGATGTGTCGCTCACTCGTTCATTCATTCATTTTACTCACTCACCTAATCATCAATGTTTACATTATTACATATTACATTTGTGTGTCAGGTCTTTTCTCACTTTCAGGTAACATATCTTAATGTTTACGTGTGTATTTATTTTGTATATTGTTGATTAGTGTAGTAGGTGATTACTATCAGGAAGCAAAATCTTACAAAAAGAACCGTTTTTTTTACCCATTAACATATAGTAAATATTCAGAGAAAAGGGAGAGCAAGATTAGGAGGGAAATGTCACTTTTTAAATGACAATAACAATAGAATTAAATTAAAAGCAATGATAGGAATTTAGAGTATTGTGCAAATTAGTGAATGGATGAAGGATGCAGAGGATAACTAATTCAAAGAACCTT